AAGGGTTGGCCTGAGAGCAAGGGAGGCAGCGGTGAGCCAGGGGGGGTTGTATAACATTCTTCCACTCCCCGCCCACACGGGGATTGCTTCACGCATATAGCATTTCTTTGGCACAATTCAAAAAAGTTGAGTTAAATCATGTAATTGAATAATTAAATGAAATAACTTGGCATAACTGAAATCTCTGCCTAGCAGTCTTGCCAAGCTGCTCCGTGCCAGGTTTGGGGCCTGACGCCTCCAGAATTCCCGGAGGGCATCAGATGAAGGAAGGGCCCGGCACACCTGGAGGAGCAGAGCCTGAGAATGAGGCTGCACCTCTGCTGCAAAGGGCCTCCGGCCTCTCCGGGAAAGGAATTCTTGGAAAACCAGGCACTTTTTATTCAGAAAAGCCCTGGAGATCTTCCAGAGAGAAGGACTTAGAAGGGAGCCACCCGCTCCAATTGAACAAGCACATTTTCACCCAGAGAGGATCGTAGCCTCTTTTAAAGCTGGGATCCAGCGGGGGGGGGGATTCTTCTGGCCCCAAAGGAAGGGAAGACCCCCTGGCCCCCTGAATGGATGTGCCGTGTTCGGCTGCTGCTATAAAAGACCCGGGAACCAAGCAAGGCAGCCTGTCCCGCCTTCTACTTATAAGGAAGGGAAGGAAAAGGTGGGGCAAAGCCCCCCCCAGCTACCTTGGGTTTTGCGGAACTCGGCCACCAGGAACTGGGCCTCCTCCTTGATCCGCTGCTCCATGGACCGCTTCCCCATCCCAAAATTCTTCAGGGTCGAGATGGCAAATCTGCGCAGCTGCCTCCAGCGCTCCCCCGTCCCGTACACGATCCCTGGGGATGAAAAGGGGGGGGGATACAGGAGAACATACCTGAGACCAGGTCAGAGTCCAGCTTCCCACCCCCAAAAAAATATTTGTTCTTTCCAGAAAGCCCACCGGCTCCCCACAGCGGAGGTTATTTCCAGCCCAGAGCCTGGCAGCCCAGGAGAATCAGAAACAAGATTTTTGAGAAAGCCCCTTATTGTGAGACTTCCTTGGGCTTATTTGGGGCTACGATTCACTCCCCCCCACTTTTGAAAGTCAAAATTCAGCTCTGGAAACCCCCCCCCAAATACATTTAATTGAATGAGGAGAGTCTGTCATCGCATTGCTCTCCAGCCACTCCAAACCCCGGGGACTGGGCAGCTGCTTCCTCCCCCTCGCTGAGTCTCACCGTTTCCTTTGCTCCACATCTGAACTGCCGGGAAGTCCCCACGGCCACTGAACTCCTCGGCTTTGTCAATCAGCGCCTCCTTTAGCACTTGGTACCCCGAAAGGACCACGCAGGGGCGAGAGCCCAGATAGAAGGTGTACATGGGGCCATAGGTCTTGCTGAGCTGGGAGGAGGAGGAGGAGGAGGAGGAGGAGAAGAAGAAGAAGAAGAAGAAGAAGAAGAAGAAGAAGAAGAAGAAGAAGAAGAAGAAGAAGAAGAAGAAGAAGAAGAAGAAGAAGAAGAAGAAGAAGAAGAAGAAGAAGAAGAAGAAGAAGAAGAAGAAGAAGAAGAAGAAGAAGAAGGAATAATCATCATAATCATCATCATCATCATCATCATCATCAGGGCAGGGCTCCTTCTCGGGGGTGGGGTGGGGGTGGGGGAGGGGGTCCCTTAGCAGGGGACGAGACCCATCAACTGAGCAGGGATTTCGGCTTTCAGAGCTTCTCTTCCTCCACTGGAAGAGGCGAGGGTTCCCAGGCAGGGCAGGGGGCAGGCAGGGGTGCTTTATTGTACCTCTGTTGTCACAGTTTATTGTGTAGGGATTTTGATTGACCCACAAGAGGTTGCCTGGAAGTGTCAGGCAAGGCAACCAGACCCATAAGTGAAGGGTGGAAGCCCTCTCCTCCTTTACGGCATTCTGACTATAGTACAAGAGTCCCCCAGACTGCACAGCTTCTCTGGGGAACAGAATTGTTGTCCCAATTTAGATGGTGTGTGTGTGTGTGTGTGTGTCAGTCCTAAGACTCAAGGCTACCTCCCTGCTTGGCCTTTTCTCCTTGCCTGGCTGGTAGTTTCCCAACAGGAAGGACCCTTAGCTTAGAGTTGGGTTCCTCTGTAATCTAACCTAATTTAATCTACTTTAACTTGCTCACACAAACAGACCTTTCTGGGGGAAGCCGTGCCTTTCCTTTGATCTACAGTTAAAGCTCTGCAAATGTCTGGAGAAAAGAGGCCAAACCTAGAATGGGGCATGGGGCTCTGCTAAGAGGAGGACCCTCCCAACTTCTTGGTCGCAGGGCACTGCCTGCTTCCCCCTGGGCGAGCCGTAGGCTCTCCGGCCCCGGTGGGGGCTGTGCAGGACCACCTCCTTCTGGACAGACATGTCCGGCTGAGAGAAGCTTGAGCTGCCCCAGGTCTCAGGTCCTCCCGCTTGCCCCCCTGCAACCGAGGGGGGCTTTGCTGCTTCAGGCCAAGGCGGGGGGGGGGTTGGCCTGGGAAGGGAAGGCTGGTTGACTTGAGGGTTGCATGGGGGAGACAGCCACTTCCCTGCCTTTGGGGAGATGCTGTTGGCTTTGTGGGGACCCACACTGGGCTCAGTTGACGGAAAGGAGGGCCGGTCCAGTTTCCACCCACTTGGGCTTGTCTTGACTTCCTGTTTGGTTTTCTCTTCTATTTTATTTGCACAGCCCCCAGGGCCTCTCTGTGCGGGAGAGGGGCAATCTCTAAATAGGACTGACTGGTAGTTCACCAGATCAGTCGATCGATCGATCAATAGATATAGATAGATAGATGGTGATACATGATAGACACATAGACAAACAACAAACAATTCCCCCCCCCCATATGCTACATATTTCTCCTACCGTCCCCGACTCACTTCTCTGAGGGAGGGGATCAGATCTTTCACGTCCACCTGGAGCATGTTGCCGATGAAGGGGAGAGCGGGGGGCCCCGGTGGGAGGCCAGTGAACCTCTTCTTGGCTGTGAAGCGGAGGAAGAGGAGGCACGACACGGCCATGGCCAGCAGAATGCTGAAGGGTCCCGCAAAATCCATCCGCGTGATGGCCGAGATCTCCATGGCTGCTGGAAGCCCGGCTGGCGCTGAGAAGGCGGTTGCCGTCCCTCTCCTGCCAGCAGGATATATACGGTCAGGACACCGGAGCCCTCGCTTGCGCCAGTCCCTGGGCCACCGGAAGTTGGTTCACAGCCTGAGGCTCGACCCGTGTCAGCTGGGTGGGGCTGGGCTGAAAGAGGCCAATTCTGCTGGGGATCCAGGAACGTCAGGGGTGCGATTCCTTTTAAAGTCCCCCTTTAAAAAAAGTTTTTGGTTTTCCTGGAATGTCTCGGCACCTTCCCTTTCCTCGCTTGTGCTCTCTCGCAGCATCCAAGACGACTCCATGCCCGCGACGTTCCCTCTCTGTTGCCCCAGAGCTTGAGGAGGCCCTCCCTTGGCAGAGAGACAAGCCCGAAGATAAGCCACCATCGTGACCCAGATTTCTCAAGCCATATTTGCACATTGCTTTGCAGTTCCAGAGAAATCTGTCCGGGCTGCTCCATTTGCCAAACATTAACCCAGCCACGTCCAAGACAGCCACAGCAGGGCCGTGCCATGCTCTTCTTGTTGCGCCAGGCACTGGGGGCAAAGAGCCTTTCCCCTCTCTTCTGCCCTTCCTGCTCCCTTGCTGCCGTTCCCTGGCAGCCTTTCCTCTCCACCAAAGACCTTCCCGGGCTGGGGAAAGGCTCGTTCTCCCGGATCATGGCCGGTTGGCCCCTCCATGGCTCTGCTGTGAAAGTGGGCCATAAGGACAGGATAGCGGGGCTTCGGCTGAGTCCCCAACTCGCCCCTACATTCCACTGGTGGCCCTGGGAACCCAGCCCAGCCCCAGCCGGCTGCCCCACGTGCCTCTGAACGCCTGCCAGAGGCCCAGAAGAACAGGCTGGCCGAGAAAAGCTCCGTACTCTTCATCAGGGATAAGCAGGTGGCAAGAACCCAGACGGCGACAGGAATTGCGTGTGTGTGTGTGTGTGTGTGCGTGTGTGTAGTGAGGAAGAGGAGGCTGCATCAGCCTTCCCTGGAATCACTCCTCTTTTCCTGCCCTGGTCAATTCCTTGCTGCTCTCTCCGCTGGGTGGTTTTCTTGCAGACGTTTCCTTACCCAAACTAGGCAGCCTCCTCAGTGCTCAGCCTGCCACCCCTGAGCTGCAAATATTGCCCCGTATTGCTACTCAGTCCCAGGCAGCCCGGCCCCAAAAGGACGTCTTCTGCGCTGCAAGGACCCAGAGAAGCCTGGTTCTGCCCTCATCTGGGCTCTGCCTGGCACGGCCGCAGTCCTTCCCTCCTGCGAAGTGGAACCTCTGGCCTTTTTCCAAGTGGGGGACAAGTTGGGGGTTTGTGGATCATGGGTTGTGGAAGTCTAGCAGTTGACTTAGCCAGTTGTGTGAACGGGCCAGCACCTTAAGTGACGATGCAGTTTATTTCTTTGGACTTAGCAAGCATTGTGATTGTGGAAGCTTTGTTTTGTTAATCATGGTTTAGGTTTTAACCTGTTATATGAATTCAGCCTTTGGGTTGTAGTTCCCTTTAAAAAAATAAAATCTCTTTATTCATCTTAAAGAGGGGTTTTTTTTTTTGCTGTTAGCAGAATTTGCCAAGATTAAACTTTAAAAAGCAGTTTTGTTTTATCAAGTGACCACACCCCTTCTCCTTGCGATTGGGCTAGATGAGGTGACGCCCTCAGTTGGCTCGCCAAAATCCAGATGGGCGAAGCATATTTTGTTAAAGGATAACCAATGTGGAAAGCCGCTTCTGTCTGTGAACTTCTCCCAAGTTTCCGGCTCCTTTGGAGGAGTTCACCATAAAAGTCCCTGCAGAACAGAGATTTTATGGTTGAGTCTGCAGCCACCAAATGTAGCTCAAAGTCGTAGCCGGACAGATGTAAGTGTCGCCTTTTGTCTTCCTCTCCTCTGTTTTTCCTGGCCAATGGCTGCGGTTATGGCTGGTGTGTTCTTTCTTCTTCAGATTCCCAGGGTCTCTAACATGGAGCTGGTCCCTCTTTCACCCTTGTTGCTGCTGCTGCTGCTGCTGCTGCTGCTCTGGGTCTCCTTCACATCGAATGGGGTGAAGAATGGAGGGAAAGGTCCCCTGCCCCCTGGGCCCACCCCACTCCCCATCCTGGGGAATTTTCTCCAGCTGGACCGAAAGAATCTGGTCCAGTCCCTGATGAAGGTGAGTTGGGCTTCCTTCCTTCCTTGAGAGCCAGCAGGCTTCTTCTCGGGGTGCAAACCCACAGCGAGCTTGATGGGCAATGTTGGATCGGGTGTCACGTGCCCCCCGGGCATTTTTGCAGGGGGCAGAAATAGATGGCAAACCCAGGCCATCCAAGGCCAGGGCGCCTCCTTTTCCTGAGACAGAGAGAGGAGGAGGAGGAGGAGGAGGAGAAGTCAACACAACAGCCTGGCCTTGTTTATGCTGCTCCAGCCCTTGGACAGGTTCCTCCTGGCCCAGCGATGAGGAAGCTCAGGGATCAGGGAAGTCGCACAGGGTGGGAGGAGGCATTGTGGCCCTGAGGGCAGCTGGCAGATGTGGCCAGAAATATTGATATCCTGATACCCACCATTCTTTACTCCATAGTCCACAAAGCAGACACTGTGACTCAATGGCTTAACATATTGTCATAAAGCACAAAAGAAATGAAAATGCCACGGACATAATTGTTGGTACCTGTGCCTAACCTTTCCACAAAGACCCCTTGGGTCAACCACAGCAGAGCCCCCTCCCCTCCTGCTCCTCTGAGGTGAGGCCAGCCACCAGCAGCTCTTTTCATTTTCCACTGGCTCCATCACTCTAATCTAGCTGGTTATGGCAACCCTCCCCTCTCCTTCACCGCAGAAACAAGTTGGTGCTTCTGCCTCTTGAAAAAGGTGTCAGGAGGAACCCCGAGGAAAGGGAGATGGGCCAGGAGGAGCCAAGCAGGCCTGTCTGAGGAGCAGCTGCAGCACCTCCGCCCCATTCCCATGCCCCACTTCTTCTGCCACCCCTCCAACCTGGCTTGGTGCCCCTCCTCTGTCAACATCAAAGCTCAGCCCAGGGGGTGGCACTGGGTGCCAAGCAGAGTTGGGTATCCTGCCCAGAGGGGAGGGAGAGGCAGGGAGAATAATTCAGAACTGGATGTCTTTGTTGGCTAGAAATGTTTCTTCCACCCAGCTGGTAACTTCCATCCATGAAGGTTTCTCTGCAGGATTTTAGGCTGGACACCTGTGAGTGGATCTCAACTTACACCTATCTGACACACGTTTCTGTTAGCCCAAAGCAACTCAAGCACCTTCTAGCCCCAACTATTAATGCAAGAATACAGGATTTCTGTAGGATTGATGCTTTTGTAAAATAAACATCTCTCTGTATGCATAATCTGAAATTCAGCTTAGACTATTTGCAATTCCAAATGTTCGGCATTTGATTCTGATTTTGGGGAAAAGTCAAAATCTGAGTTGTTGCTTGGCAGCTGTTGTGCATCCCTTCTGCTGGCATCCCGAGGGCAGGGTCAAGCAGCTGGTCAGCAGTCAGGGCTGGTGGGACTTTGGAGGCCTTCCATCTCCTTCACGAAGGGCTTTTCTCGGACTGCTAAAGGCTCCGACTATGGATGGGGTGGGGGCTCCAGAGCACTGCTGGTCTTTCTTGGCAGATGGGCGAGGAATACGGGCCGGTGTTCACCGTCTTTCTGGGACTGCAGCGGGTTGTGGTCTTGTGTGGCTACCAAGCCGTGAAGGAGGCCTTGGTGGACCAGGCAGAGGAATTCAGTGGGCGAGGGCAGCTGCCCGCCTTCTCCAAGGACTTCAACCACCACGGTGAGGGATGGTCTTGCTACAAGAGGGGCCTGAGCCTGCCTTGCTGGGCTTGCGTTGCACTGAGGGGGAGTCCTGAGAGAAACCACCTGACCTCCTGGTCTCTTGGGCAGGGATTGTGTTTGCCAACGGGCAGCGCTGGCAGAAGCTCCGTCGCTTCTCCCTCACCATTCTGAGGAACTTTGGGATGGGCAAGAGGTCCATTGAAGAGAGAATCCAGGAGGAGGCCCAGTGCCTGGTGGAGGAGCTCCGGAAGACAGAAGGTAGCCGTTCATTTGGCAGCAGTAGCCCCTCCCTCCCTCCCTCCCTCCCTCGGCTTGGTTTACCTGAGTCTTACTCAAGGGTGAGTTACAAGAATAGCAGTTCAAAGCAGGCAAAGGAAGTCTTCCCCTCCCAATGGCTTCTGGTTCAGTCTTCATCAGCGTCACATGGTGGGGTAATTGGGAAGTCTGCAGCCGTGTGCTGCGTGCGGTGGTCAGAGAACAAAGACTGCCCTCAGGCTAATGTCCAGGGATGCCTTGAAGCTCCGCCCCCTGACCCTTGCTCCCTCCCTTGCCCTGTTAAGTAGGCATACATAGAGTTATACAAGAGAAATGGATCTATGATCCAGAACACCCTGGGATCTGTGAGCAGCCCTTCCCCCAGCAGCTGATCCTGACTGATCCCAGATATCATCATGGCTGGTAGCCCTTCTCACCTTTCTCCTGCATGAATCTGCCATTCCACTGTAGAGTTGTCCACATGCCGTAGACATGATGCACCCTGCAAGCCCTTCCTCCCGTGGTCCAGAGTTGTCTGCTGCTCAACTGCGGTGGGCGCTCCTGGGCGCTAGAGCCCCTATCCCTCCTCTCCACATCATGTCACCGTGTTCCCTGCAATTGTCTGTCCTCTCTGCAAGTGAAGATTTTGAGTCCACATTCAATTGCTATTATTATTATGGTTTGTTGCACAGTCAGCCAGATGTTCAGACTTGATATTATTATGGTTGGGCAGGTGGGTGGGAATATAAGAGGAGCGCCTGCAGCTCAGGACAGAGTGAGTGGAGGGGATGCTTAAGGGCCAGCAAGGTTCCCCTCTCTTTTCTCCAGGGACGTCCTTTGACCCCACCTTCCTTCTTAGTCGAGCTGTCTCCAACATCATCTGCTCCATTGTGTTTGGGAATCGGTTTAAATACAATGATGGAAAGTTCCTCATATTGAACAAGCTGATAACAGAGCGTTTCCGCCTTGCAAGCTTAACTGCAGCCACGGTGAGGACAATCAATCAATCAATCAATCAATCAATCCAATCAATCAATCCAATCAATCAATCAATCAGTCAGTCAATCAGAATAGAGCTGGAAGGGATCTCTGAGATCTTCTAGTCCAACCCCCTGCTCAAGCAGGAGACCCTATACCATTTCAGACAAGTGGCTGTCCAGTCTCTTCTTAAAGACCTCGAGTGATGGAGCACCACAACTTCTGAAGGGAAGCTGTTCCACTGGTTAATTGTCCTCACTGTTAGGAAGTTTCTCCTTAATTCCAGGTTGCTTCTCTCCTTGATTAGTTTCCATCCGTTGCTTCTTCTCCTACCTTCAGGTGCTTTGAAGAATAAGATGACCCCCCCTCCTCTTTGTGGCAGCCCCTCAAATACTGGAACACTGTTATCATGTCCCCCCTAATCCTTCTTTTCTCTAGACAGGCCATACCCATATCCTGCAGCCGTTCTTCATATGTTTTAGTCTCCAGGCCCTTAATCTTCTTAGTTGCTCTTTTTCCAAAGTCTCAATATCTTTTTTGCAATGTGGTGACCAAAACTGGATGCTGTATTCTTACTAAGATTTTATAAAGGAATATTTTATTAAGCAGGAGTATTTCTTCAGTTTTGCTGCCTTTTCCCTACTCAAACTATGAAGTGATTTGGGCCCTTTTTGCTTAGAGCCTGGTGCTAGTTATTTTATCTGAAAAATATTTGAAGGTCCATAATAAAATTTGCTATCCTTGTTGGGGGAGAAGAGAGCTCCCCATAGCTCTCACTCCTCAGTGGGGAGAAGATGGAGGCTGGTGGATTTAGTCCAACTGAAATCCTGTCTTCCTTTTTTTTTCCTGTGAATTTTCAACAATATTCCCAAAGTGAAGCAACATCTTCAAAGACGCACACAGCAGAAGGACATGCTTACAAGTGCATCTCACCAGTTTGATTAAGAAGTGGCAGCTGCTTGCACACAACTATCTAAGCTTGCAAAGTTTTTTTAGTCTGTTTTGCCAGTTTACACATGCATGTATTGTGCAATCTGTCCAGATAGGTTAGTTTGTTTACCAAGTTAAGCATGGTGCACGCAAAAGCTGTGGTCAAGAAAAGCTAATAATATTATTGTTTCATCCCTTGCCCTCTGCCCAACTTGGGGTAGTTCTACAACATCTTTCCGGAGATCATGGAGAAGATCCCTGGACCGCATCACGCAGGCCACAGGTGCTCCCAGCAGATCATCGGCTTCATAAAGGAGAGGATCCAGATGCAGCAGGCCTTGCTCGATCCTTGCGCCCCCCAAAATTACATTGATTGCTTCTTGGCAAAGATGGAGCAGGTAATGCTACTTATCAAGGAGTTTCACTTCTCACTTCAATGGCATGAAGGTGCTTCACCGCAGTTCAACTGCCAGGCAAAGGGGTTGGTTGTGAGTCTTTGGGGTGCAGCTGCTGTCTTCCTGTTGGCCCCAGAGCTCCCCGGCTTGAAGGAGGAGAAGTTATTCCCCCCCATTTCTTATGGCCATCAAACACAACTGACGCTCGCTGTCTGTCAGTTGCCCGTCTGTCCGGTCTTCAGATTTAGGCAGAGACAACCCAACACACTTCTACAGTCACCTTCCAACTCAGAGCTTAGCTAAGCAATGAATTGGTTAGAGCAGGGGTTCCCAACCCCCAGGCTGCTGCTGCTCACTGCCGGGCCCATTTGGAACCGGGCTGTGGAAGCGGCAGGTAAGTGTGCGTGTGTGCGTGTATAGCTGCACTTGCGTAAGTAGACGGTGAGCATGTGTGTGAAGGTCCATTTGTGTGAGTGGCGAGTGCACGTGCCCTCCACTTGTGCAAATAGCGCTCCCGCAGAACCATCCCATCTTCCCCCCCTGCCGGCCTGCAAAGTGGGAAAGGATGGGGGACTCTGGGCTAGAGGAGGAACAAACGAAGCCTGTTTCTGTGGTCGACTCCTATTCAGCTTGAGAGGATTTGCCCCAGGACTGCAGCCATGGCGGACTTCACGCTGCCTGCCACAGAGCAGTGTGCACTTCCGGTTCCCAAATGCCTGATTAGAAGTGGATTACACGGAAAGCTGCAAGACCGGAGGAGGGGGGAGGGAGCAAGACTTGACATGCTGGTTGGGTGCTATCTGGGTACCACGCTTCTCCTTCCATTGACCATCAGGAGACCCTGGTTTGTTCTACCACCGCAGCCACGCTCACCAATGGGCCACACCCACCCGGCACTCGACGATACATACGTGGGCTTGGGGTTGTAGTTTGGGCACTCGGCCTCTAAAAGGTTCGCCATCACTGCTCTAGCCTGAGAGCTTCGGAGGGAAGGCAGGCACAGCAATGCCCTCTTCTAAAGATAAGCTTCCATCCCAGAATGCCCTGGTTCTCAGCCCAGGAAGTCAGCCTGGGAAGCCACCAGCCACGCGGCGAATCGCCTTGGGAAGGTCCCCTTAGGAAAGACCCAGGGTCACATCCTGCTCGAAGGATGAAGGGCACTGAGTGGTGGTACCTAAGAAATTGACACTGGCCAGTCTCGATTCTGCAGCTGCCAGACCTTCTGGTTGTGGAACCTTTTTCAGGTTTATTCTACCTGCACCAGCAAAATTTAGAAGATTTGCATCTAGCAGGGCCTGAAAACAAATACGATTTTTTTTCTTATCTTCCTTGATCTTTGACAGGAAAAGCACAACCCGGATTCTGAATTCTGTGTGGAGAATTTGGTGATGGCCACTTTCAATCTGTTCTTTGCTGGGACAGAAACCATCAGCACCACCCTGAGATACAGTTTCCTCATCCTGATGAAGTACCCGCAGGTCCAAGGTAAGGGAGGAAGGAGGCCCCCCCACTCAGCACTAGAGGGGGTGGTGGACTGGCAAGGAGGGGAGGGACGTAGCTCGGCCTGGGGGGGGCTTCCTTTCTCAGTTGTCTATTTGGCATGATGGAAGCCCTTGGTCTGGGAAGGTGGACAGTCCTCAACATTCGGGCCTCAGCCGATGGCACTTAGTGGTCTTTTCCCTGCACAACAAAGGGGGCCCATTCCAGTTTTTTTGTGTGTGTTTTTAATATGTAGGACAGAAATGAAAGAATTAACTATATGGGAACGATCATTTTAAGTGCTCTTCATTCATTGACCTGTTTCTTGACCTGCTGTGCACATGGAGTAAACCATATTCCCATTCTGACTTGGCCCATCCAGCCTCCATGGTGCCTGGACCACAACCGCTGTTCTCTCCCAGCTGTGCAGGGGACCCCCCTACTTTGCTCTGCATGCCCATTTCCTGGCAAGCAGGCGGGTCCATCACTGCTTTGCCTCCAGGGGGCTTCACAAGAATCCACTGCAGCTCTGTCCCCCCCAAATTTGACTCCTAAGCCCCCTCGGTCATCTTTCCCCAGAAAAGCTCCATGAGGAGATCGACCGAGTGGTTGGGGCCGGCCGCTCGCCCTCGGCTGAGGACAGGAGGCAGATGCCCTACACGGAGGCGGTGCTGCATGAGATCCAGAGGTTCAGTGACATCCTGCCCATGGCCCTCCCACACGCCGTCACTCGAGACACCCGCTTCAGGGGATACGCCATCCCGAAGGTGAGGCTCTGGGGCAGGGCAGCACCGGCCAGAGCGTTTGTCCAACATGCTCCCTTCCATTTCGGCCACTGGGGTCTGCAGTTTGCTGGGGGACGGGGGGGGTGTCATTTCCGCCACAGCAGCTGCTCCACTGGCCTGGCCATGCCAGTTCTGCATGCCCAGGTGCCAGCTGGCCTTTGCTGAAATGTTACCTGAGCAGAGGGGAAAGGGGAAACTAATTCCTTAGTTTCCATTGAATCTTGTCTAATGGGATGGGCAGCAGAAGCAAACTGCTGGGCTCCCTGGCAGAGAAAGGCTTTTGGGGAGGGTCCTGTGGGTGGAGGAGGTGCCCAAGCAGATGTTCTGTAGTGGGCATCTCTGTTAGCCACCCCCGAACAAGGTTTCTCAGGCCCTCCTCCCTGGATAGCGCCACTGAAATGCCACGCAATCCTGGCTTCCCATCCTCTGGCAATGCGGGCACCTCATTCTGGGCTTTTCTCCTTGCCTCTGCCTCCCGTTTCCCTTCTGCTCCTCCTCCTTGGATGTTCCTGCCAGGGGACCTATGTCTACCCTCTGCTCAGCACGGTGCACTATGACGCTGAGCAACACGCCCGTCCCGAGCAGTTTGACCCCGGGAGATTCCTGGACAGCCACGGCCACTTCAAGAAGGCAGATGCCTTCATGCCTTTCTCAGCAGGTGTGTCCTGGGGGTGGGGGCTGAGTGGGGTTCCCTTCCCTCCCTTTCCCTTCCCTCCCCTTCCCTCCCCTCTCCTCTCCTCTCCTCTCCTCCCCTGCCCTTCCCCCTTCCCCTTCCCTCTTTGTGCCACTCACTCCTGCCCCTTACCTCTCCACTGGGCCTCCCTTCTCAGAAGGTGGCTCAGCCTCAGGCCGCTTGGAGAGCACAAGAGGCTGTGCAGGGAGGGGCTCAGGGTCCTCAGTTGCCTCTGGCGCCCACCAGGCCGAACCTCTTTTGCCCCCTCTCTGCAGGGAAGCGGCTGTGCCTGGGCGAGGGCCTGGCCCGCATGGAGTTGTTCCTCTTCCTCACCACCATCCTGCAGGCCTTCACTCTCATGCCACCGGTGCCCCTGGGCGAGGTCAGCATTGTGCCCAATGCGAGTGGCGTCAGCCGTGTGCCCATGAGATACCAGCTCTTGGTGGTGCCGCGCCAAACTTGATAGTGCTTTACTCACTCAGTTTCCCTTCTGTGGCGCTCTCTTCAAATGCCCAGAGGGTGGGAAACTATGGTTTCCTTCAACAGTGCAATTTATTGGCAGTGGATTCTTGGTACAAGCACCAAGCAGTGCTGTTAATAGAAAAGAATCTCCATTGTTCGGGTGGAGCTGTGGGGTCCTTGGTGCTCCCTTGAGCTGGGTGCTTTTCTTGCAGACGCTTCGTGGCCCAATTGGGTAACGTCTTCAGCACCTCTCTGACCTAGTTGGGTCACGAAGCCTCTGCAAGGAAACCACCCAGCTCCGGGAGCTCCGAGAACCCCACACCTTCTGGCTCCCTGGAGAGCACATGGCGGGGCAGCTGCCTCCCCCTGCCATCACTCCCCAAATCAGGAAGCTGCTGCTCTGGGGATGAGCACCTGGAGCCCAGGGGCTGAGGTGGCAGCGTCGGCCATTTGAGGCTGAGAACGGCACTCTTTCCAAAGCGCCAAATCAAGTCACTCAGTATGTTTAGATGGGCACTTTCCCCACAGCTCACAAACAAACAAACAAACAAACAAACAAACAAACAAACAAACAAACAAACTGCTTGGAATAAAACATGCTCGCTTCAGTAATGCCAATTTTTGTTTTCACTTTGCCCCCATTGGAAGGGAGACCAGAACGCAACAGCTGGTCCTGAGGATGCCCGCAAGGGAGCAGCCTTCTCCTCTTGGGGGGGGCTTGGAGGGGCTGGTAGGAGATAAGGGGAAAGAGGGAGGCGGCCTTTGGTCGTCCCAGCCCCCACCGGAGACCTTGGAAAGGATGTTGGCAGGTTCGCTTTCACCAAGGACATTCCCGGCCTTGAGCACCTCTGCTCTTCTTGGGTGCCCCGGGGGATAAGACCCATGGAGGCAGCACAAGGGGCAGCTGCTGAGCCCTGTGACCTTTGCCCCTGCCCCCCTTAAGGCCCACCATTTTGCTCCTTGGGGTAATAGCTGCAGAGGGGGAAGCAGAGCTTGGAAGGAGAAGGCTGGAGGGGGGTGGAAAAGGACCAGTGGCAGGTGGGAGGTAGGTCACCTTGGCCTTGGCAGAGAAAGGGCAGGAGTTCCTTGCATGCCAGCAGACATTTTGGAGAGGGAGGCAGAGGGAGATCCACATCTGGGGCTAGGGAGGGTGGGCTGGTGGGCAACACGGGCACTTTTTGAGAATGCCCCCTGACTTGCCCCAAGTGGGTATTAGAAGGAAAATCAGGTCCATTCCAAGCCGGGTTTGAAAGAACAGGAGGCGGTTGCTTGTAGCAGAAGCGAAGTTTATTCCGGAAGGCAGAGTACAAGCAAAACACAGAGTACAAAACCAGCCGTTTGGAGGTGGCCACCAGTCAATTTCCCCGCAGAGTTTCTGTAAGAAAACGGCTCTCCCGCTGGTCCCTGAAGGGGCATGAAGAGAGCCCAGCTCTGGGGATTCCTGGGAAGCGCAATAAGCCGGCTGGCCCAGCAGTCAGGCTCCCTGCTGGGCTTGGAGCTTTTGCATTGTGACACAGGCAGCGCTCTGACAGCCTAAGGAGAGATTTCCTGCAGTTGAGGAGGGTGATGCCCTTTGCCATCTTTAATGCCACTTTGCCATTAAATCCATTCCAGTGCAATTTCTCCCCTTTTGCCTGAAACTGGATGAAAGGCTGGTTGATGAGGAGTGGGAGGAAACTGGGGAGGGGGATTGGATTTCCTTCCTACAGGGGACCCCCTTCTTTCCGAGGGAAAGGCAGACATCCTCCTCAGGGCCGGCACAGATCTCTGCAGGGCTCCTCATCTGCCTGGGGGTCCCTGGGAGTGGGGGCCCCTTCTGCAAAGAATGTTTATTCGTATACAGAACAGGCCAACATACAGAGGAGATTTTACGAAACAGAAACCCGCCTGAGTTGGGAACTTCAAAGGAGAGAGGCAGGATCGAACTAGACTGTCTGAGAAGGAGGGAGACCAGGGACCACGGAGGCACAGAGGTTGGGGTACAGGAGCAGGAGCCGCAGTGCAATGCAAGGGAGGGGGTGCCCGTAGGTGCCAGGCTCTCTGCAGATGGAGAGGCGGCTGCGGTGCCCTCAGCAGGAGAGGCATGTCCTTAGAGGGCACCTCCTGCAGCCAGAAGGAATCGGCAGGGAGGGAGCAGAGGCAGAAAGGAACGTCGCAAATGCTCCAGAGGGCCCCCCACTCAGCGGGGGACGACTGAGACCTCATAGATCTGTGGGATAGTGCCAAACCCCACCAACATTGGGGAGAGGTCGATGTCTTCAGGGGTCACAGCTGATTTGAAGCGGAAATGCTGCAGGATGCTGGTGAGGAAGAGGAAGAGCTCAGCACGGGCCAGATGTTCCCCAAAACAGTAGCGCTTTCCTGCAAAAGACCAGAGCAGAGAGGTCAGTGGGCAGGAGGACCCCCTGGCAGCCTCCCCAACGGGGGTCTGAGAGCATCCATATTCTGCAGATGCAACGGAGGACTTGGGGGTCCCTTCTGTGCCTCAGCATCTCTTCTGAATTTGTGCTTTGTGGATCAAACTCACAACTGTGTCCCAGTGGGAGGAGCCAGGATGGAGTCTCTGGACCATCCCTCTACATACCAGGGAGGGGCAGGGAGGAAACAGTGGTGACCTTTGGCGGGGGGGGGGAGTTCTATGAGAGGGTTGTCAGAAGTGACTTTCTGCCATGAGAAATGGGGAGGGGGCTCACCAATGCAGAAGGGTATGAAAGCCTCCTTCTTCTTGAACTGCCCCTTCTCATCCAGGAAGTGTTGGGGGTCAAACTCCTCAGGTCTTGCAAAATGCTTGGGGTCTCTCAATGCTGTTCCCAACATGGGGAATACCTCTGTCCCCTGCGGGCAGGAAATAAAGGAAGCATCAATTACTCTAGCTGAGGATGATGGGAGGCATGATCCAACTCACACAGAAGACAGCTACCTTTGAAGACTACCTTGTAGTTGTAACTGAATGTTGGGAGCAGGGATATCCCCCCCCTTAATACCTTGGGAATTGTGTATCCTCTTAACTGGACATCTTGGGTGACACGTCGTGGCAGGGCCAGGGGGAGAATGTCCCCAAATCTCTGTATCTCATGAATCACAGCTTCTGTGTAGGGCATCTGCAGCCGGTCCTCCATGGTGGGAGTCCTATTGACACCAATGACGCGGTCAATCTCCTCGTGGATCTTCTCTGGGGAAAGATCAGAAAGAGGGTGACTAGGAGCCAGAGGAGGTCCACTTCTGGCCCTTCAGTTGTGGTCTGGGAACATGACCAGCTTCCTGAGGAGCCTGGAAGACGACCCAACATGCAGGAGACCACATGACGGGTCTGAATTTCACAGGATTGGTTCTTAGGAAAAACTAGTGGTAAGAAGTGAGACCACACCTGGAATACTGCAGCCAGTTTTGGTCACCATACTATAAAAAAGATGTTGAGACCTTGGAAAAAGTTCAGAGAAGAGCAACTAAGATGATCCAAGGCCTAGAGACTAAAACATATGAAGAACGGCTACAGGACTTGGGGTTGGCTAGTCTAAAGAAAAGAAGAAATAGGGAAGACATAATGGCAGCATTTCAGTATCTCAGGGGCTGCTACAAGGAAGAGGGGGTCAAATTATTTTCCAAAGCACCAGAGGGCAGGACAAGATACGATGTTTGGAAACTGACCAAAGAGAAAAGTAATCTGGAATTAAGTAGGAATTTCCTGATAGTGAGTACAATTAACAAGTGGAACAGCTTGCCTCTGGAAGTTGTGAGCGCTCCATCACTGGAGATTTTTAAGAAGTGGCTAGACAGTCACTTGTCTGAGATGGTATAGGTTCTCCTGCATGAGCAGGGGGCTGGACTAGAAGACCTCCAAGGTCCCTTCCAGCTCTATTCTATTCTATATGGTGAAGTGCCCAACAAGGAGTGTGTTATGGAGAGAAGAAAAGAGAGGAAGGGATGTGAGTTGAGAGTGGACAACTATCTGGGGGGGACTTCTTGACATGGAGTAGTGATTAAGATGATGGATCAAGACCAGGAAAGGCCAGATTCCACCCTCAGCTGGAGAACTTCCCTTGATGTCTTTATCTCCTCTTTATCAAACCCACCTACCCATGGAGTTGTGAGGGACAACAGGAGAGGAGGAGCTTCTTCTCCTGAAGAAAAGGTGATAGAACACCAACAAGTTCCTCAACTGCTACTTGGGAGAAGAAGGACTTGGGCCTTGGAGGTCTCAACTGCTCCTGTTCCAACCACTGCCCTCCTCCCTAGCAGATGGTTTTTACTCCTCTGTTGCCATGGAAATTACCTTCCACCTCTGGGTACCTCAGCAGGATCAGGAATCCATAACGCAAGGTGGTGCTGACCGTTTCGGTACCACCAAAGAAGATGTTAAGTGTGGTTGCGACCAGTTCCTCCATGGAGAAGAAAGAGTCAGGGTTTTTTTCTTCCTTGGTGAGAGTAAAGGGAACTTTTGTTTATCAACTCTCTCTATTTCAGCCTATTCCCCACCAGGATTACAACTTCCCCCCATCCCTCAGCCAGCACAGCCATCATCATGACTGAAAGTCTATCTATTTTTTGGGATTAAGAGTCCAAATCGAGTAGCCCAGTTCTTCCATCTACTTCTGAATCGTCTCAGCTACACTTAGGGAGAGACCTAGAGCTCCAGGTATTTCCTAATGTCTGAGCTTCTCTAGAAGTCTGGACACCCTGAACATTGATGAGATCCACACTGGTTTTTTGTTGATTTGAACTGTGGACCACACTTTGGCTACACACCTGTCCGCTTTTTTGGGCTCTGGTAAGGCATGTGTCTGGGGCGGTTCCTTTCAAAAGAGCCTTGGAAGGAGAATCTCCCGAAGGTTTGTATGCTGCCCCATTCCAGTTTCCAATAAAGCTCAGGGTTGAAATGAAGAGTCCTTGGTGCTCTCTGAGCTTGGTTGTTTTCTTGCAGACATTTCATTACATAAACTAGGTAACATCATCAGTGCACTGATGTAATCTAGTCTGAGTAATGTAATGTCTGCAAGAAAACAACCAAACTCAGAGAGCACCAAGGACTCCTCATTTGAGTTGGTCTGAGGGTATTTCTGTGTGTTTGATTCATCCCATCAAGGCGGTCAAGGTGTCCCCCCTTCTACCTGCAGCATTTTCACCAGGAAGCAGTCAATGAAATCCCGTGGGGAGTTGGGGTCCAGGGTCTCCTGGTGGGCTTTTGCCTTCTTGACCACAAATTCCTTCAGTTCCGAAAACCTCTTCAAAATCTTTTGCTGTGAGCCAGGGAGGCGTTGCACAATTTCAAAGAAGATGTCCAAGAGCTGCGGGTTGGAGAAGGGAGGAAAGGAGGGTTTTACTGGTAGAAGAAGACCCTGGCAAGTGGAGCTGAGGTGGGATGAGGCTGGGCAAGGCTTGGGAGGGGGAGGGGGATCCCAGGAGATCTGTGGCCCCCTGACCCTTCCTTCTTCTCCCAGGCGAGTTGCTCCTTCAGGTCTGCAGAAGAAGGTCTTCCTTCACCCTCGTGGGAGGAGAGAGAGCCAACTGCTGCCCCACATCTTCTTCACTGGGAGGGGAGAAGATGTCCCTTTAGGTATATTTCAAGCAGCCAAAGTCTGGGGGTGACCCTGGCATTCTATCTCATCTCAGGTTGGAAAAAAGATTCTGAAAGTGGGCACTGTCCCCCTTTCAATGAATCTGTTGAGGGCACCCAAGATAGGCAGATAAACAGAGAACTTCATTGCTTCTTGTCAAGGACAGGAGAGTCTTCACCCCCAGTGCCTTGAGATTCAGAGCCCCAGATGAAAGCTGATGCTTTCCCCAAGGAGAAGCAGCAGAACTGAGGGAGTACCTGTCCCCGGGCTGAGGAGCTGAAGCGAAAGACTTCTGTCACTGCGGTCAGCAAAGAGAGGAACTCCTGGTCTTCGTAGTCAAAGCGGTTGCCAAAGGCGATGGAGCTGATGACGTTGGACACGGAGCGGCTCAGGAAGTAGGTGGGGTCAAAGGGGGCTCCTGGGGGAAGAGAGACCCTTCTCGATGCTCGTGGAGGGACTGCAGGGTCTGAGGCCTTGCAGACACCCCTCCTCAAACTCTCCTGTCTTCCCCTCTGCCTCCTGGGGAGCAGGAAGGCAAGGGGCCCCCTTTGGAAGCCTGGGCCGTTGCCAGGGGCTCAGACAGACCAATAGATGCTGTGGGCACCCCTGGACCAGAGAGGGGGAGCCCAGACCCTTGGAAATGGGATGAGTTCAGGTGTGTCCACCGCTGACAGCAGCAGGAGACTCTGAGCCCAGCCCTTCCTGTGCAGGCAAAGAGGGCAAAAGGCATCCTGGACCCTGAACCAGGCCAGCCTCAACCTGCTGTGCCTGGGGCCGGGCAGGCTGGTGGAGCCAGAGCCAAAGCAACTGGAAACTCCCGTAAAGGAATGAACAAAATGCCCCGGGCTAAACCTCGGAGTGTGCTGGGCGCTTGGGTTGCAGGAAGAGGAATCTTCCCTGGGTGGTCTTGGCACCTTCCACAAAGCTTGCTGGGGTGGCTTAAGCCAACTTCCCCTTTTGGATCTTTGGGCAGCCAGGCATGTGCCATTTTCTCCAGCCCCCTATGAATTGCCCCTGGCCCCACTTCTGGGGGCTCCAGAAATCCACCTGCCTTTTGTGCCCCTCAGGGCTTCCAGCAGGAAGTGGGCTTCCTCCAGGATCCGCTCTTCGACGGATCTCTTTCCCACCCCAAAATTGCGCAGGGTTGTGATGGAGAACCGTCGCAGATGTATGGGTTTTTTCCCATTGCTGAAGGCGACTCCTGCAGACCAAAAGAGAAGGGGGGGAAAAAGGGGGTGTTGGAACCCAAGGAAGACCTCCCAGCAGATGCAGGATTGCCCAGCACTCTGGTCAAGAGAAGAGACCCCGTCCTTCTGAGCCCTGCCTTAGAGCAGAGGCAGCACAGAGCTCCCACTCTGGAGGACAGAGAAGGGGGTCTCTCTAGGGGTCTTGAAAAGTGAGCCATGCTGAGTCAACCCTGAAGTGAGAGGGATGGAGGGACCTAGCGGGTTGCCTGGTCCAGCATTCCTGCTCAGTGCAAGGGACATCAAATACAGCTTCCCCCACTGATGGCTGTCTCGGTGGAAACTCATCATCAAGTTGCTGGGGCTGCAAAAAGTGGAACATACCGTGGCCTTGGAAGATCCAGTCAAAGCTGGCCTGTTGGCCCCGGTCCCGAAACTCGTTCCCCTGGTCCACCAGGGCCTCCTTTATGGCCTCAAAGCCGCAGAGCACCACGATGCGACGGGGACCCAGCTGGATCGTGAAGACTTCCCCAAACTTTTTGCTCAGCTGCCAGAGAAACCAGACAAGAGAAGTGGGGAGAATTGGATGGCAGAACTCAGTTGGTCTCCTGAGCATCTTCCCCCAGCTGACCAGCTGTGACCCTGGGCAGGAGCTGCTGGGCAGAGAAGGTCTCGCTGGGGAACTCCATGTGGTGCGTCTCTTGCTGCAGATTAGGCAGGGGTTAAACCTCCCAGATCCTCCAATGCCCTATTCTGCAGTGAGGTCATCATTCTTGGCTTAAGGTCCTCTCTTCCTCAGGAACCTTTCTACACCCCCCTATCTCCCCAAACACTGCCCCCCCCAGGGGCTTCCAATCATTTGCCTGCCTGATTGCTGAAAAGGAATCCAACAGGAAAAGAAACACAGGTAGGGCAACCATTAAAATTGAGATTTAATATACTGTATACATGGGTTTGCTCTATCTATGTTACAGCCTCTCTCTCCCTGTTTAAGTATTTAAAAAATCAGGAGGCGTCTGGGGGGCCCTTTTCTGAATAAGACATTTACGAAAAGGCGGAAGCTTTCACGAGGCTCATGGGAGGAAGTGTGTGCTGGCCCAGAATCCAAAGGAGACGGAGAGTGCCGTTTCCCACTAGCCCAGTGGGTGAAAAAGCACATTTGATGGAAGGCAGCTGGGGAAAGCTTCCTAGCCTCCAGACCGATGAGGGGGAAAGCCACTCCGAGGCTCCTCCTGCTCTTTGGTTCCTGCAGATTAACACGGCTCTCCTTCTGGAGCTTCCAAGCAAGGACTACGGTTCTTTGGCCAGCCATGACTCCTGGCGATTCTGTGCTCAGGTCTCTGCCCCCTTCTCAGCAATAGTTCTTGGAAGGACCAGCGCCCACCAGCTGCACCCAACGGGCTCCTTGAAGAGGTGCTTAAGGACCCCGAGCGAGACATGGAGGGCAGCCTGGGCGTTTGAAGGGAGAGGAGACATTCCCCTGCCCTCTTCCCTCCGGGCTCCTGTCCACTTTGCAAGAGGTCACAGCAGGCCTCTGGCTGTCCGCAGGAAGCAGGTGCACTAGCAGGGAAGAGAATGGCAGGAGCTGGGCTGCTCTCCCTGGGGAATACCTGCCTGCTGGGCAACTAGGAGTTGACAAGGGCTTCATGGCCCCTGATCAACCACCCAAGCAACCCGATTCCTCTTCTTCCATCCTAGGGGGACAGGGAAAGTCCCACTCAAGCTTTTGGGTCCTGGGCTCCCCCAGCCAGCTGGCCTTCGATGCTGGCAATCCAAAGCCAGCAAGGGCCACTTGAGCTGGTCGTGGGGAAGGCAGGAAGGAGCATGCAGAAGGGCAGGGGGCGGGGGTGCAGGGGGAGGGAGGGGCTTACCTTGATGAGTGAATTGGGCAGGTTGTTTCGATCTATCCAGAGCAGGTTCCCAATCAGGGGGAGGGGCGTGGGTCCAGGGGGCATCCTGCCCCTTCGGCGCATTTGCTGCCAAGAGGAGAGGAGCAGGAGGCCGGCCAGGGAGAGGGCCAGGAAGAGGGTCCCTGCTCCCAGGAGATCCATGGGGACGGGCAGCTCCAGCACTTGCCTGGTGCTGCTGTGGAGAGAGTGTCAGCCTGGCTCTCCAGGGATCTAATATAGGATCCGGAAAGAAATGCAACGCCCACCTCATCATCCAGTTGTGCAACAGCCCGGGTCCCTTCCAAGCCGGGCAACCTGCCTATTGTGCATTTCTGCCAGTTCAGATATTTTCCAATTGGAGTCAGATGCTGCTCAGGGGCCAAAGAAGGGGGGCTTTGGTTCAACAATAGTTTTGTGGTTTAGTTACCTCACTTTTTCTTCCAAGGCAAGGGCTGCACAAACCTCAGCAATCAAAGAGCCACTATAGTGACCTCCATCACATAGTTATTGCACAGATGATGCAATTTAATGGGGGTTTTTTTGGGTGGGGGAGAAAGACAACCTTTGAAGTGGTGTTTGCTTCACCCATCCTGGGCAGAAACCAAATGCCTGAATGGAGGCTTCAGCCAAGGGGCTGAATTGAGCAAAGGGCTGCAGAGGAACCATGAATATGAGAGTAAGCAGCATTCATTGATTGGATCATGGAATTTTGGGTCAACCCCAAGATGCTTTTAAAGAGGCTTCCCTCCAGAGGTTGTGGGTGCTCCATCACTGCAGGTTTTTAAGAAGAGATTAGACGGCCATTTGTCGGAAATAGTAGAGGGTCTCCTGCCTGAACTGGGGCTTGGACTAGGTGACCCCCAAAATCCCTTTCAACTCCGTTATCCTGTCATTCTCTTATTCTGAGAACTGGCAGCCCAGAGGTCCAGGGGAGAACGGCCAATTGGCCTCTGCAGTGGAGGGGGGTGCTAGGCGCTGTGGCCAATGGCAATTAGATCTATCACTCACTCAGGGGAAGGAGAGGCTGGAGGCCACCTGCTTGAAAAGGGGGATGGAAAGGAGTCAGGGGATGCACGGGCAATAGACAGGCAATGCCCATGCCCCCCTTTGCCCCTCTGCCCTCCATAGGCGATGAGTGCAGGTGATGAGACAAGCAGAAAATGATGCCTCTTTGGAAGCCCCTTGAGATCTCCTCAAGCACATGGCTGCTCCTGTGCGATTCTCCCAGGGGGGAATTGGCTGATCCAAAGTTTCTGCAATTCCTGCCTTCCCCCGACTGCTGGACTGGATAAAGGCCTGAGCAGGTGGCTCTTTGTGCCCGCTGCAGCAAGGTGTCAACAGTGCAATTTCATTTTCAGTTGCCACAGTTGAAGGGGAGGGGGATGTGTGCTTTTAACGTTAGACAAAACAATAAATTGTCCTGTGGGAACCAAGGTCATTGCTGCTGGGTTTTTGGCGGGCTGAGCTTTCCGTTAGAAAGCCCGCCAAAGTAGTTTATTGGGGAATATGATTAATGACATATTACTGGGGTGGGAAGCTCAACTTTGTAACCTTTGGGAGGGAACTTCAGTCTTGGTTTCACTTTTGATCGTGCTGATATTATGTAGCCAATAAATATGTTCTTTAAGGAAACCTCTTGCCTTGGAGTTCTGTTGACACAAGGATTACCTCTCACAGACCCCAGTGCTGCTGCTGACAGGGCCTAGATACAAGTTAGGATGCCCCCCACTGCCCTGCCTGGGACAAGGAGGGAGGGGACACAAAAGGGGACTTGGCTTCTCCAGGTGGGCAGGACAGGTAAGGAAGCCAGAGAGTTTTGGCAGGACAGCCGCTTCCCTTTCCCCCAATGGCCCTCCTCCTTTGGGGCTCAGTTGACCTCCTGCTCCCTTGGGGCAGGTGGGAGGAGGTTGGGTGGCCATCCTTGGCACAGCAGCTCGGTGGAGCCCTTGAAGGACACTGGAGGGGCAGGAAAGGGAGATGATGTGAGCGATGGAGGTACAAGAAAGATCTCAGCAGGGTTCGGAACAGAAGTTCCCACCCTTCTTTGTGGTGGTTGCAAAGCATCCACTGGTGGTCCCAGTTTCCACTAGAAGAGCAGTGTTGGGGGATCCCCAGTGCCAGACATTTCGGGGCAGCCCAGAGGAGTTCTGGATGAAACATGGCTGCAAGACCTGAAATTCTGCTCAGGATGGACGGGGAAGGGATGGGCCGACTCTTGGCATCGTAGGCACCAGCCTCAAGCTCTAGGTCCACCTGTTGGCACAGGACCCTTCAACTTCACTTCTGCTTCCATTTTAGGTTGGCAAAGAATGTTTATTGGTACACAAAACAGGTCAACATACAGAGGAGATTTTACAGGACAGAAACCTGCCTGTATTGGCAACTTCAAAGGAAAGAGGCAGGATCAAACTAGACCTATTCTCTGACGTACTTGAAGACAGGACAAGAAGCAACGGATGGAAACTAATCAAGGAGAGAAGCAACCTGAAACCAAGGAGGAATTTCCTGACAGTAAGGACAATTAACCAGTGGAACGGATTGCCTTCAGAAATTGTGGGTGTTCTATCACTGCAAGTTTTCAGAAGAGGTTGGACAGCCATTTGTCTGAAATGATATAGGGTCTCCTGCCTGAGCAGGGGATTGACTAGAAGGACTCCAAGGTCCTTCCCAACTCTGTTATTCTGTTAGACTGTCTCTGCCCCTTGGCCAGTCCCAGAGATCAGCCTGCCCAAATGGCGCCCAATCAAAGCATTGAGCACACCAACCAGGACACTGAAGAAATGAGGCTCCAGGAGGACTGTGGGAGTTGTGGGCATCCCAGGAAACCTTTTTCAGCTCAGCCAAGCTTCTCCTCTAGTACCGGCTACTTTTAATGCTGGACATTTCTACTTTGAACATCACCTTAAGCATGCAGAGCACCTTCAGAGTGTGGGAAGAAGCAGGGAAACCAGGGCACCATAGCTGAGCTCAATTGAAAGCCACTTTGTTCTCAGCGGGGGACAACAGAGAACTCATAGGTCCGTGGGATAGTGGCAAACCCCACCAACATTGGGGAGAGGTCGATGTCTTCAGGGGACACAGCTGATTTGAAGCGGAAATGCTGCAGGATGCTGGTGAGGAAGAGGAAGAGCTCCGCACGGGCCAGATGTTCCCCAAAACAGTAGCGCTTTCCTGCAAAAGACCAGAGCAGAGAGGCCAGTGGGCAGGAGGACCCCCTGGCAGCCTCCCCAACGGGGGTCTGAGAGCATCCATATTCTGCAGATGCAACGGAGGACTTGGGGGTCCCTTCTGTGCCTCAGCATCTCTTCCGAATTTGTGCTTTGTGGATCAAACTCACAACTGTGTCCCAGTGGGAGGAGCCAGGATGGAGTCTCTGGACCATCCCTCTACATACCAGGGAGGGGCAGGGAGGAAACAGGGGTGACCTTTGGGGGGGGGAGTTCTATGAGAGGGTTGTCAGAAGTGACTTTCTGCCATGAGAAATGGGGAGGGGGCTCACCAGTGCAGAAGGGTATGAAAGCCTCCTTCTTCTTGAACTGCCCCTTCTCATCCAGGAAGTGTTGGGGGTCAAACTCCTCAGGTCTTGCAAAATGCTTGGGGTCTCTCAATGCTGTTCCCAACATGGGGAATACCTCTGTCCCCTGCGGGCAGGAAATAAAGGAAACATCAATTACTCTAGCTGAGGATGATGGGAGGCATGATCCAACTCACACAGAAGACAGCTACCCTTGACGACTACCTTGTAGTTGTAACTGAATGTTGGGAGCAGGGATATGCCCCCCCTTAATACCTTGGGAATTGTGTATCCTCTTAACTGGACATCTTGGGTGACACGTCGTGGCAGGGCCAGGGGGAGAATGTCCCCAAATCTCTGTATCTCATGAATCACAGCTTCTGTGTAGGGCATCTGCAGCCGGTCCTCCATGCTGGGAGTCCTATTGACACCAATGACGCGGTCAATCTCCTTGTGGATCTTCTCTGGGGAGAGATCAGAAAGAGGGTGACTAGGAGCCAGAGGAGGTCCACTTCTGCCCTTCTAGTTCTGATTGGGGGACTCTACTATGCAGGAGACCATGCAACAGATATGAATTTTTCACATATTCATTCTTAGGAAAAACTAGTGGTAAGAACTGCTCAACAAGGAGTGTGTTATGGAGAGAAGAAAAGAGGAAGGGATGTGAGTTGAGAGAGGAGAACTATCTGGGGGGACTTCTTGACATGGAGTAGTGATTAAGATGATGGATCAGGACCAGGAAAGGCCAGATTCCACCCTCAGCTGGAGAACTTCCCTTGATGTCTTTATCTCCTCTTTATTAATCCTACCAACCCAGAAAGAGAGTGACTGGAACCCAAGGAGGTCCACTTCTGGCCCTCCAGTTGTGGTCTGGGGACATCACTAGCTTTCTGAGGACAGAAGAATGCCACCTAGCATGAGGAGACCATGTAACAGGTCTGAATTTCACAAACATGGTTCTTATGAAAAACTAGTGGTAAGAATTGCCTGAACAAGCAGTGTGTTATGGGGAAATGAAGAACATAGAAAAGATGTAAGCTGAGTATGCACAACTATCTTTGGGGAACTTCTTGAGTAGTGATTAAGGTAATGGATGAGGAACGAAAAGCCCAGATTCCACCCTCAGCTGGAGAAGTTCAATTAGTGACTTTGTCCAATCCTTCTCAGTTCCACCTACCCATGAAGAAAAGGTGATAGAACACCAACAAAGTCCTCAACTGCTACTTGGGAGAAGGACTTGGGCCTTGGAGGTCTCAACTGCTCCTGTTCCAACCACTGCCCTCCTCCCTAGCAGGTGGTTTTTACTCCTCTGTTGCCATGGAAATTACCTTTCACCTCTGGGTACTTCAGCAGTATCAGGAACCCATAACGCAAGGTGGTGCTGACCGTTTCCGTACCACCAATAAAGATACTAAGTGTGGTTGCGACCAGTTCCTCCATGGAGAAGAAAGAGTCAGGGTTTTTTTCTTCCTTGATGGGAGAAAAGGGCATTTTTTAAATCAAGTTTATCTCTCTAGTTCAGCCTATTGTCCATCAGGATTACAACTCCTCCCCATCTCTCCGCCAGAACAGCCAGGTCTACTAGGGAATAAGAGTCCAAATTGAGTAGCCCAGTTCTTACATCAACTTCTGAATGGCCTCAGCTACACTGATGGAG